TGCTGCTGTGAGCCGTGGGGGTGGGGCAGTCTGGTTTAACAGCACAGGGACGGCGGGGCGCCTGCTACCAACGGTGCCTACGCCCTCGGATCCAAAGGGTCCTGAGACATAACTACCCACGGGCTGCCTCTGCCAGGAGACGAGGAGGCGTTTCCAGGCGTCTGCCTTGCCGTTCGACCAGAAAACCCACGAAGCCTTTCGCTTTTGGAAGAATCCACGTTTGGGTCACTTTGTGGGTGGGGCTTAGTGTTCTCTTCTCGGCTCCCAGCCCCGAAGGGCAACAGAAGAATTCGTCAGGGTGGCTTCTCTTGGCAACAGGGCCCATCTGGAGTAACCCTCTTGTTGCACAACAGGGGCCCAAGGGCAGCAGTGACATCCTTCCCGGTCATGGGGCCCCTGCGGGCAAGTTGTGGGGCCCCTTGCCCTGCTGCGGGTTTAGCCTGGGGGAGCCCTGCTCACTGCGGGGCCGGGCAGCAGGGGCCGCCTTGGCCCCCTCGCTCCTCAGGGTCAGAGTTGGGACGTGTGCGTGTGCGGCTCCATTTCCAGAGCCCCGGGGCAGCATCGTCGCCGTCGTCCGTGGCTCCGGGCCCGGAGTCTGGGCTGTGACAGAGCCAGCCGTGCGGGACAGAATTAATGGCTTTGTTTGGTTGTCTCAGATGAAGGATACGGGGGCAGTGTCATGGAGCTTGATTTTGGGAAAGTGTTTGATGCATCATCTCGTAACATCTTGCTCACCCAATTAATTCCAGTGGTCAGGTGGCTTGGAAACTGTGCATTGACCCAAGCGAAAAATCAGACAGTGATAATGGATCTGTTAGGGAGGAGGCTCCGGGAACGGGCTGCCGTGGGCCCAGAGGTGGGATGGTTCTTAATTAAACTCTGTTCTGATGAGCAGAGCAAGCAGCCCATCAATAACCCGTGACAGGTGAATACAGGTGAGGCACGGGTTGGGAGGAAAGTCGGGGCGGTGAGTTCCGCGTGGGTGGGAGTCTGCTGGAGCCCGCGCCTCGGCCTCCCCGCTTGCCCTGCACCACGACCGTCTGTAAGTGCCAGCGGGGGCGGGAAGGCCAGAGGCGTGCCTGGCTTGTCGTGTGTGCGTGTGCACGTGTGTGTGGCTGTCTCTCTGGGACTGGGTGTTGTGTGTGGCTGCGCAGCTTGTGTGTTCTTCCCCCCCTTGTGCTTTGTGCACGCAGGTTGCTGTCTCTGGGCAGGCGTGCTGGGTGGTGCGTGTGCATCTGGAAGTTTGCATGTCTGTGTATCGGATGCAGTGTTCTGGGGGATGTGGCTTGTTGCCTGTTGTGAGTCTTTGTGTTAAGGCCACTCAGAGCCATTCCTCTTTGAACAGCAACCTCTGAGCCCCTGTTTCCTCCCCTGCAGCCTGGAGATGGTGGCCGTACCTACGCGGTGTGGCTGCTGTAGATGTGAAACGAGGTCATGAACGTGAGAGTGCTCCATGCTGTCCCTCGTGGTGCCGGGGGCAGGGCAGCGAGGGAGGGAGATGGCCCAGTCTGAGGAGGAGCCAGGGGGCCCTGCTCTCCCAGGGGAGCAGCCACGGTTGGCTCACGGCTAGGAGGCTGGGGAGGAGGAGTGTGCGCATGTGTGGATAGCGCCCATGCGGCTGCCGCGGCTTCCCCATCTGGCCATGAGCCGGAGGAACCGAGAGGCCCTTTCTCCTTGGAAGCTGAGCCCCCCGGGAGGGCAGGAGCCCACCTCTGGTGTCCCAGCCCCCGCCCTTCTCTATCTTGTGAGATAATGCTGTTTCTTATTCTTTATTTGCCCAGGATGCCTGTTATTTTCTTTCTTTCAGAATCCAATTTTCTCGTGACATTTATGCCTAATGTAGCAAAACATGACCTTTGTGAAAGGACATGGCTGGCAGCCCGCCCCCTACCTCAGGTCCCCCGGCGGGTCCTCTCCGGAGATGGGGACGGGCAAGGGTCCCCACCTCACCTGGGCCACTGCGGTCTCTCGCCCCCCCTCCCTGCTTCTGTCCCCGGGTGCAGCGATCCATCAGGGGCTGGCTGTCACCGGCCGTGGCTGCTCAACCCCAGGCCCAGGGCTTTGGTACAGGGCGCGGGGGGAGCGGGGGCAGCCTGGGGCGGCCGGGCCCCGCCTGACAGGTGCTGCCATCGATGCTGTTGTGGGCAGACAGTAAACCCAGAAGAGCAAAACAAAGCAGAAGACGGTGCCGGCTGCGTCCTCCCATTGCGGAGACACCGCCAGGGCCAGCGGCGACGGAGGCTCAGGGTGGTGCTGGCGCTTGCCCTGGGCCCCGGGTCCCGAGCTGCGGGCGTGTGGTTGGCGACTTCATGGGGCTGTGCCTTTGCCCCCCTGCTCCGCCCGCCCAAGTAGGAGGGACCCTGTGGGAGCCGAGCCCCCAGCGGTCATCATGCCTGTGTTTCGTCACCCCCTTCCTCGCCGTCAGCGGGGCATGAGGCGCTTTGCGGGAGTGAGGGGGACTGTTGCTGGGGCTTGTGACGCTCGGCCTGCAGGTGGGTTAAGGCAGGGGTGCTGTCACCCCAGGAGTGCGTAAGACGTGGGGGTTCGGGGCCTGTCCTAGAGCGGACCGTGTGGCCTTAAGGAGCCCGAAAGGAGGGTGTGCTGGGTGCAGGGCAGAGATCAGAACAGTAAATGTTGGGGGGCACCTACCCACGTCACCTCCCCTTCTCCAGCAGCCCCCTCACCCTCAGAGTGGGGGCTGCCTCTCCACACAGGCGGGGCTGCCTCCGATGAGAAGGGGGAACCTGTCCCTAGGGCTGTTCATGTATTTGAGTATCTGCCTGTGATGAGCTGTGATGCTCTGCGACCCCACGTAGGCTCAGCCTCTCCCGTGAGCTCGCGCCTGTGCGTCCTGCAGGCGTATCCAGCAGGCATCGCAACCACTGTTAGCAGGGGGGGGCTCTTGATTCCTGCCCCACCTCCCTACTGCAAATGTGGCCTTTGGCAGCTTCCTCATCTCACTAAATGACATCGCCGCTTGCCTGGTTGCTTGGTCTCTCTCCTTCCTCTGCCAGAAACAATTCAGTAGGAAGTTCTGGCCGCTCTGCCTCCAGCACCTTGAGTCCACCTCCTTAATTACGTCGATGCCCCCGCTCGCCTGGAACTTTGCTGCAGCTCCTGAACGGCCTGCCAGCGTCCAGTGTTGTCCTCCTGCCCTCGGACGTGGCAGTCACGTTACACCCTTCCCTACAGAAGACCACCGGTCACCTTCCATTACTCCTTAAAACAAAGCCCAAACCCCCACCATGGCCAGCAAGGTAGGGGTGGCGAGTCCCCCTCTCCTGCCTGTCCCAGGCCACTCTCCCTGGCCTCCTTTCTGCGCCCCGTGCCTCTCAGGCCTTCAAGCATGCCACCCCCACTTCCTGGGGCACCCCTCCCTCCCTGGTGCGTGTGTTCTCCCTCTTCTCGCCCACTGCCCGGCGACCTCCTCGCAGGGCCCTGCTCCGAGCCCCCGGCTCAAGCAGCCAGCCCCTCCCCCGCGTCGCCTGCGTGCGTCACTCTGTCCACACTCTGCTCTGCTCATCCCAGCAGGGATTCTCCTGGTTTTTCACCTGTAACTCGGACCTAAGTTCCAGAGGGGCCTCGTCAGCTGTCCACCCCCTCATTCACCTGTGAAGCCTGCGTTTGTCTCTAGACAAACAGTTGTTGTAGAAGCCGCCCGCACGCGGACGCCCCTGTAAGCACCTGGGCGGGTGGGTGTGCGCATACGCAAGAGCTTCTGTTGGCACTCGCCTCCGACATGGCTGACAGGCACAGGTGCCCGCAGTGCGTGCGCGCGCGTACGTTTACCCAAGTGGGATGCTGACCGCCACCCTGTCTGTCGTCACGGGGTGAGTGTTGCTTCCGGGGTGCTGCCTGGATTCCAGCAGTGCCTTTTTTAAAAGCTGCGAGTACATCCAAAGTTGTTTGTTGAGGCTGGCAAAATAGTAACTGTGGATGTGTTTCTTCTTTTATTTGGGAGACTAATGACTACTCCTTTCCCCTGTACACCCTAATGAGAACAATTAAATAGCCATTAGGAGGAGAAAAGAAGTGTGAACAAAAGGCTGATGTCTTAATCACTGATGGGCATCTCTGCTGGGGAAGATAAGGTAGGTGCCAGGCAGCTTTGTTTGACGTGTGCGAATGTTAGGAATGCCTGGCCGGGTGGTTCAGTTGCTTAGAGCGTCATTCTGATACGCCAAGGCTGCGGGTTTGATCCCTGGTCAAGGCACATGCAAGGATCCACCAGTGAGTGCATAAGTAAGTGGAACAACAAATTGACATTTCTCCCCCTCTCTTTCCTTCCCTTTCTCTCTCTCTCTAAAATCAATAAATAAAAAAATTAAAAAAAAGAACACTTGTTGGTGAAAGTGCATAGTTTCAGTTATGGAAGATGAGCAAGTCCTGTTGCTCTGTAGTACAGCATAGTGCCTAGTTATCAACACTGTATTATATACTTCATAATTTGTTAAGATAATTTGTCATATCTTGTGTCAAATATTCATATCATATAAAAAGAGATGGGGGAGGAACCTTAATTAAATGTGATAGTTCAGTCTATGGCATTGTTTGTGGTGGCAGCTTCTTGGGTGTATACTTAGCTTCATACTCATCGAGACGCACATGGTAAATACGTGCAGGGTTTTGGAGGCTGACTGCCCCTCAGTGGTGGAAATAGAATGGCTGTGTGCGGGCTCTTGCCCCCGAGCACTCTCTGTGCCCCTGCGGGGTGGCTTCCAAAGGCTCTCTGACCTTTGATGGTGGTGAGTGGATATCAGAGAAGGATCAAGAAAAAGTTTTTTTGATTTGTAAAACTTGTCCCTTTGAAAGGCTTCAGAACCCTCTCCAGACCTGGCCTGTGGCCTCGACTCGTGGCAGATGGATGGGCTGCAGAATGGAGCAGAGGAGGAGCGGAACCGTGAAGCCAGGTCCCCGGGAAGCGGCCCAGCCCACTTCCAAGAACATGGCCTGTGCCAGATTTGCCCTTTAATGCCCCCCCTTTTTTGTCACTCTTGCAGAAATCTGTCAAGTAACCGGCTCACCACACTCTCATGGCAGCTCTTCCAGACGCTGAGTCTTCGGGAATTGTAAGTCGGGGTTGGGAGACCGTCCAAGTCCGTGGGGTGCTGGTGGAGGTGGACAGGAGGAGTGGCTGGGTGTCACCTGAAGGGGCTCCTTAGGCTGGATGGCACAGGGTGTACCATGTTCAGTAAGGGCAACCCACCCCGTCGCTTGATTCCCAGTCCTCTTCCTGAGCACAGCACAGTTCAGAAGACGGGAATCTCGCCTCCGAGCCGGCCCAAGTTTTGTCATCTCTAGGTAATTAGTGCTATTAGTATTGATATCTGTACAAGTAAAGGCCATTTATCAATTCCTGACAAACAGCATTTACACTGTCTTGCCTTATAGATTATCAGGTGTGCTCTCATTTACGTGACCTTAGGTTTACCAGCACAAGCATCATGGGAGGCAGGTGATGTTCTGCTTCCCTTGTGAGAGGCACCTCTGCACTAGAAGGTGAGGGTTCCAAGCCCCAGGAAGTCACATGAGACACAGCCAAGACCACAGGGCTAGGGCCTGGCAGAGCCGGCACTCAACCCAGGCCTCTGCCTTCAGACTGCATGCCTTTTCCGCCTCTCATGATCTCTGTAGGCCTGTTTGGTTTGAGCCTGGGCATCCGGAGGGGCTAAGGCCACGTCTTCATTCAATCCGCATGTGGCCTGCTAAGTCTTGCTGTGTTTCTCGGCTGATCTGTCTATCCGGCCCCCCAGCCAAACACATGTTGGATGAATGAGTAAAAGTTTGTGACCACTGGTGAGAAAAGATTACTCATGTTGATGTGTGAGTCATTGGGGTCACCTCTGGGCACAAGGGACAGCATGTCGTATTGAGGGAATAAATCAGGGAATAAACTGAATACGAGTTGGAGCGTGGATGCACTTGGGAGTCAGGGCCCCGGGGATGCTGCTCCTGTGTGCCTGTTTACTGGGTGATGCAGATCCAGATTCACTGCCTGCAGATTGCTTTCCTGTCTCTACCAAGGGGCAGCGGCCTTGATCCCTGCCCACACTGTTGGCCTTCTGGAGTGCGTCTTTCCACCTGGTAAGACCTGGGTTCGTGAATGAGCCCTTTCCTGACCCAGCGGTCAGGGATGGGGACATCCACAACCAGTGCCCTGGTAGCTTATCACCCTACCGGGACGGGAAGTCCAGACGTTGTCTCATGGCGAGTGCTGGGGAGTTCGCTGCTGTGGGCGCTTTCCTTTTTCCGGGTTCGCCCTCTCGCCAGGCCGCTGCTCTGGTGTGGGCACCGCAGATGTGGTGATCGGAGTTCCTTTGTCACGTGTGGCTGCGATCCAGGTGCATACCAATAAAAACTCTTCCCCGAGCTTGCAAGTGGTAAATATAGACTGACTTGTTTGCAAAACTCTGAAAAGCTAGCAGATATCGAGCTGTCAGGTGGTAACACTGGACGGGTTGTATTCATTCCCAGCTTTGTAGGCAGAAAAGACCATAGAGGTAAACCAACCAGACTGTGTGATCACGCTGAGACTGTTTCTGAGATCTCACTCTGTGCCAGGCACCCTGTCAAACAACCTGTAGATGTATGCACGTCACTTACTTCGATCCTTATAACACCTCTCTAGGTAGGAATTACTCCTGTCATTTCATGTTTGGGGGCACTGCGGTCCTTAGCAAGGTTAAGTGTCTTGTTTAAAGTCACCCCTTAATCAAGTGTTAGCACGTGGACTCCAGGTCTTGACCGCTGTGCTCAGCTCTCTCCCAGCTTTTTCAATCTGTTTCCAGTCTAAGGGTCTGTTCTACAATAATTTTCAAAACATGAGCAGTTGCAGTTTTTTCCTCTGCCGCCATAGGACTGGTCAGGGGCCCTGCCATGGGGGAGCTAACTGGGGGGTCGCTCTCTCTCTTTTGGGAGTCTCGGCCCCTGGCTCCCCTGGAACGCCTGCTCTGTACCTGTGGGAGGCCAGGGACAGGGTGTCTCCGGGGAGCACTTGGGTGCTGCAGGTGGCTAAATTATTGAGAAAGCATCCAGTGTCCCTTACGAAGAGCCACTGGAGGTAAAATTGATGGTGTGCTGCCCTGGTTGCCTGCTTTGTGGAGTTTTACAAACAGATGTTCCGAGGGCATATATTTAAAGAAAACGCCACGTTTCTCCCAGAGCATGATGGGGTTCTGTATTCGTCTTTGCCCGCGATCAATACAGCAGTGAGCTGGCTATGACTTATGGAGGAATGAAGACGTGTCCTCCAGAGCGAGTCGGTGTGTGAGCCACCATGTCCACGGAGTATTTAATTTCTGTCATGTTGTTAAATAAGAAAAACATCATATTGGAAGATAAAGAAGTCCCCTCTAAGGGGCAGTTGCCCTGGTAGGGGTCTATTTTTTGAGGAAGAATTGAATGGTATGAGTGGAAAATTTATCTTTTGGCTGGAGGGGCCGCATGTTGGCTCTTTGCTGTGGCTATGATTAAAATCCAAACAATCTCAGTTCCTGGCAAATGGAAGAGGGGGCAGTGTTTTCTTGCCCGACTTCCTGATTAGTCCACATGGCGCCATCTGCCACAAGCCATCCAGACTGCCAGGGTCTGCCTGGCAGAGCCTGCGGGCTAGGGTGTGGGGACATTTCCAGGAAGAAAGGACTTCGGCCCCAGAGGAGAAGCCCGAGGGAGACGGCCATGCGCTGTGACGGCCAGAAGAGCGAGGCGGAGGCAGCAGTGGCCTCCTGCAGGAGGGGAGGGGCAGACTGGGACACGCAGCCATTTCTTAGGGCCTGCGCCTACGCCGACCAGCCCCTCCCCAGTAGAAGGTCCTTGGTATAAGAACTGATGTTGTGGAGAGGCCCCATCGGAAGGGCTGGGTACCTACGTCTTTTCCAGTAGTAGAGACGAAGAAAGAAGAGGCATATATTGAGCGCCTGACATACAGAAAGTCCCTTCCCACCCTTGGAGCAATCCCATGAGGGATGCATCCTTATCAGCAGTTTTGCAGATGAGGGGTATGAGGCTCCGCCACACTAGACAACTGGTCTACCATCACATGGCCAGTAAACGGGAACTCTGGGCATCAGTGCTGTGACTGTGACCACCACCCAGGCCTGGGGTCTCCGCAGACCAGCGCTCTTTCCCTGTATGACTCAACCACGCACCCCGTGTGACTCACGTCACCTTCCAGAAGCCATTCTCACAGCGGAGGATCCCCTGAGTGGAATCAGAGGGAAAAATCCAAACACGCGAGTGTGTCGGAGCCCTTGCCCTGGGCCAGGGTCCCCCTCACTCCTTTCTCGTCGACTTGTGTGAGGTGGAGGCTGTGCTCTCAGCCAAGCACCTGGTCCTGGTTGTGTTCCCCTCACTGCTTTCAAGACCTGCCTTGGAGTCGTCGGCACTGTTCCAGGGGCGGGGGTTCGGGCAGTCCGAGTTGGCGCTGCTCAGCGCTCTCAGAAGTTTCTGGTTATGTTCCTCACAGGGAAAGCTGGAGCTGCCTGTCCAGAAATCAGAGCAAGAATCAGAGGCTATCTTAGAGATAATGAGCGAGAAAGAAAAGACGCTTGGATTCTGTATCCCATGATATAATTCAGGCAAAGGCACCACAGGATATAAACTCAGAGCCCAGAAACCCTCCAGAAATACCCTAAGGACTGTTAGTGTATCTTGAACAGGCTTCTCCTAATACCCTGCACACACGGAGCAGATGTGACTAAAATAAGATTGGAATATTTCATTTTCTTAAAGCAGAGTGATCATTCCTTCTGGTGTAATTTGCAGATTTAATCGACTTGGTAAAATATTAACTTGGTATCGGGGATGGGTTCTAGCTGATCCTGGTACTCTCTCCTCTCCCAGTCCGGACCCGTGACCACTCCCGCGGGTCTCTGAGAAGCCACTAAACAGTCATGTTAATAATTAGGTAATTATAGTAATAATCTCTGGCCTCTTTATAGCCCCTTTTAATTCACAAAGCATGTTAACACATATCACTAATCCTCATAATAACTTGGTGAAGAAGGAGTGTCGAGCACAATCACCCCCATTTTACAGAAGTTAAAACAGAGCCCTGGAGGATTCAGTTTCTCGCTATGTTGGTTCCCTAGAGCTGCCTGAACATATTACCACAGATCTGGTGGCTTAAATTGCAGAAACAGATTCTCTCACTGCTCGGGAGGCTAGAAGTCCAACATCAAGTGTCCTCAGGGCCGCCGTCCCTCCTGGGCTCAGGGGAGAGTGGAGGCTGCCAGCCTTTTCCAGCCCCGCGGCTCCAGCGTTGCTTGGCTTGTGGAGCGCCTGCCGCCGCCTTCATGCGGCTGTCTTTCCTGTCTTTGTCTTTGATCTTTCCCTGCCGTGAAGATACCAGTCATTAGACTTAGGGGCCACCCTAAATCCAGCACTACCACATCCCATGATCCTTAACGTGGCTGCAGCTGTGAAGCCTCTGCTTCCGAATGAGGTCCCTCACACGCGCGGGCCCTGGGGATGAGGGCTTGGGACCTGCTGTGCCGGGGATACTGCTCAGTCCACTCTGTGTGCCCCGGGCCACCCAGCCGGCTTGGCGCTTCTGTGGGCTTTCCTGTGGGCCCGCCCTCCTCTGTGCCAGCAGGCCCAGGTCCCTCCCTCGGCTCCCACCGCCTGGCCCCAGGACTGGCCTGGCGGCAGCCACGCTGTGGGGGAGGGGGCCCGTGTGATGACTGGCTGAGAACCAGCACGTCCTGAATACCCAGCCTTGGCCGTAGCCCCCCAGCAGAGTGTCTGGGGCACAGGCCCGACGGGGCCGCGCTAACCTGCTGGAAGCCCCCAGGGCCCTGCAACTGGACTCGGCCAGGGGCCATCACAGGGCATGGCAGGCCTCGCCCGGCCGCCTGCCCTGTTGATGGAGCGGAAGGCCCGACTTCAGGTTCCTGGAGCCTGCCCACTGCCCCGGCTGCAGCTCTGCTGCTGAGCTGTGCTGCGTGGGGGGCTTTCGACCTCTGCCCCGCCTGCCTGTCTGTCGGAAACCCCCCATGAAGACCCGACAGCGGTGGTGGGTGTGCTCTGTGGATGGGACCACCATGTTGAGACTCGAAATGCTTTCTGCTGCCTGTGTGCCTTGCTCCCTAGGAGGAGCATCCAGAGGGCTGGGGGCCCAACTGGGGGTTCTTCTGCAGTTTCCAGAAGACTCTGGATTGGAGGAGAGGAGTAGGTCTCATGGTGTGTCCCTTCTGTTGGATCAGGTCCCAGAGGAAAGGGATGGAAAGAAACAAAATTGCTGTTAGTGTGCCCGTGCTGGCGTGTCTTAGCCCCGTCCCAGATATCTCACCTCATTCCCCACCCGCCTCAGGACACGCTGGCACTGCCCACCTCACGGGGGCCCTGGGGTGCCGGGCGCGCTGCACGTCGGCTCAGGGCGGAGGCAGGACGGGCCGAAGCACCCGCACTGGTCTAGAATGTCCCCCATGCGGACAATTTGTGTTTTTATGACTATTAATACCGCGCGACCTCATCTTGTCAAGTAAGCAGCTGGGATAGGCCAGGCTGACGTGCTTCGGTTTCCCTGTGTTCAGGCTCCTGGACCCACGGTGTCGTTTCAGAAGGGCTGCGGCTCTGTCCCCCGAGTCCCTACGGCCTGACCTCAAACTGCTGCTGTGCCGCCCAGGCCGCCCCAGCACGCTGGGCAGCGGGGGCCACCTGCTTGCCCCTTCCCACCCCTCGCCCTCTTGCCGGGGTTAGCGGGGGGGGGGGGGGTGCATGTCCGGCGTTCTGTGGAGTCTTGGGTGTGGCTGACTCTTGGGTGTGGCTCAGCGAGAGGAGGGGTTAAGGAGAGGGGACGGAGCGTGGTCCGGACGCTGTGGGCCTTTGACTTTGACTCTGAAAGCAGAGAGTTTTGAGAACAGGAACATCCCAAGCTCACATATTTAAAAGGGTCTCTTTGCCAAGTGAGTTAAGCGGAGTGGGTTTTTTTCTTCAGATGAGATTATTAGTTTAAAAACTAAATCCATGGACGTCCTAAGTACTTTTTATTTCTTTTGAGCCTGTGCTGAACCCCTTTTCTCCTTTCTCCCTGAAGAGCAGGAGGGGCGCCCCCAGGGCCCTGGGCGGGAGTGGGCCGCCCTTGGTTCAGGAGCTCCCTTCGCCCTTGTTGCCCGCAGGAGGCTGGAGCAGAACTTCTTCAACTGCAGCTGTGACATCCGCTGGATGCAGCTGTGGCAGGAGCAGGGGGAGGCCAAGCTGAACAGCCAGAGCCTCTACTGCGTCAGTGCCGAGGGCTCCCAGCTCCCGCTCTTCCGCATGAACATCAGCCAGTGCGGTGAGTGAGGCACCCGGCCCCCGACTCCAGAGCGGGCACCTCCCGGTGGCCCAGAGGGCCGGGTCCTCCCGCTGCCCACTGCCCTCCCCGCCTTGAGCTCTGCCCTGGGTGCAGACCTGGCTTTCCACGTTCCTCCTGAGTCACCTCTGTCCCTTCTCGTCTGGCCTGGGGCTTCCTCTCTGGGAGCTTCTTCTTACCCAGGCCCAGAGGGGTGTATCGCACAGCGCGGCCTCCAGACTTCCTGTGTCAGGAGCGGCTAAGGGTCTTTTAGAAAAGCATATTCCTGGGCCTAACCACAGACTGTGACATCAGGATGTCTGGGGACGGTCCCAGAAATCAGAATTTCTAGCAGGCTCCCCATGGGGGTCAGAAGCAGAGCAAATTTTTGAGAACCAGCTCCCCAAAGTGGAAGCTGTTGTTTGCCTTCTTGCTAGAGCTGCGTTCCCAAGAAGCTGTGTCCTGCCACGCACCCCCCCACCCAACACCTTGCCATGTTGGAAAGTCCAGTTACAGGGGCCTGAATTCTGAGTCCTGATGTTCCCAGGGGAGGTGGTGTGATGCTTCTGGGACCTGGGTGCCTTCTGAGATCTCAAGCCGGTGACCTCGCAGTGATTATTGTGCAAAACAGGAAGTGCTGCCGCCGACCCCGTGGGCAGAGCTTTGGTGTCAGTGTTTGCCTCTTCCCTCCCTCCTTGCCCTCCCTCCCAGACCTTCCTGAGATCAGCGTGAGCCACGTCAACCTGACCGTACGAGAGGGGGACAATGCTGTCGTCACTTGCAATGGCTCTGGATCACCCCTGCCCGACGTGGACTGGATAGTCACGGGGCTGCAGTCCATCAACACCCACCAGGTGGGCGTCCTAGGCTCGGGCCCATCAGGAGGTTGGGGACGCGTCACCTCTCCATCTCAATGACCCCAGTCATGAATTGAAGCAAGAGATGCGAGAAGAGGGGGCAAGAGGGGAAGTATGGTCCCGTCTTTCCTGGAGGAAGCATGTAGACTTGGGTCCCACCCAGCAGCCATGTTTCCTAGGCGACTCGCTCCTAATCGCGCTGTGAAACTTCTGAGAACCACAGTTTCCTCCTCTGTGCAGTGGGTACAGTGCTGCCCTTCGCCTCTTTGGGTAAATATGAGGATGGCTGAGCTGTTGACCAGAGAGGGCCTGGCTCTTGGTCAGTGTGCATTCACCGGACAGTCCGCTGCTACCTTCTGCTCAGCTTTCCTGTTGATTCCTGAAGCTGTTTGGGGGTTGGGTGGGGACCCGCCCTGTAGAAACTGTTGGATTGCTGTCTTTCTGTTGGGGTTTCAGACAAACCTGAACTGGACCAACGTACACGCCATCAACTTGACTCTGGTCAACGTGACGAGTGAGGACAACGGCTTCACCCTGACGTGCATTGCAGAGAATGTGGTGGGCATGAGCAATGCCAGCGTCGCCCTCACCGTCCACTGTGAGTGGGCGTGGTGGTTGCGCGGGGAGGGGCGCGTAGGAGCCAGGGCGGGGCTGAGCCGGAGCTGTGGGCCCATCTACCAGGAGGGGCAGAAAACTCTTGCCAGAGCGAGTCAGTCCTGAGCTAGCAGCCCCAGGAAGGGTGGCGTCCCTTCCCGTCCCTCAGGAGATGCTGCGCCTCCAACTCCGCCAAGGCTTCAGGACACTTCTAGTTTGACCAAAGTCCACCTTTTGTCAAACCCCTGAAGGGCTGCGAGAGGGCCCCCCCAGCTATGGTGGATCAGGGAGCTTGGGGGAAGACAGATGTCTCTTACCCTGTCTTGGGGGGTGGTTAGGGGGCACCCCAGATTTCCTCTGTTCAGAGCTGGGTGGGGGATTAGGATTGGGTTCCCCACGCCAGCTCCGGGAGGGCCGCTGCAGGACACGGGAGCCTCTGCGTGCCGGGCGCCAGCGGGCCTCTCCCCGCAGACCCCCCGCGCGTGGTGAGCCTGGAGGAGCCCGAGCCGCGCCTGGAGCACTGCATCGAGTTCGTGGTGCGTGGCAACCCGCCGCCCACGCTGCACTGGCTGCACAACGGGCAGCCCCTGCGGGAGTCCAGGATCATCCGGGTGGAGTACTACCAGGAGGGCGAGGTCTCCGAGGGCTGCCTGCTCTTCAACAAGCCCACCCACTACAACAACGGCAACTACACCCTTATCGCCAAGAACCCGCTGGGTACCGCCAACCAGACCATCAACGGCCACTTCCTCAAGGAGCCCTTTCCAGGTGAGGGCGGGCGGCCCTCGGGCACCGGGGTTCTGTTCAGGAGCTCGCGGGGGCGGGGGGTGGGCATGCCGCTCGAGGGACCGGCAGCACCAATGCTGACACGCACCGCGTGTAACCCCTCAGCCCCCCCAGCATTTTGTGGAACCGAGATAGTCTCTGGTTTCCAACAGCTGTCACAGTGCAGGCCAAGACCCCCCGAGAGTACCCAGTTGTGCACATGAGCTCACAGGGTGAGATGGTAGGGAACGCAGGGATTTGAGGGTTGGATGAGAAGGGCAGACAACCTGGACCCAGGCTTTTCTTTGTTGGGAGACTCTGGGCCAGACAGTTTGCTTTTCAGAGCCTTGATTTCCTCATCTGTGAAATGGGCACAATTACCCCACTCCCATAAGAATCTGGTGGCTTTGAAATGACTTAAGGCATGTAAAGCACGCGTCACACAGGCTTGCTGGCACACAGTGACGGCTCATGGCCTTGCGCTGCAAGGGGCTTCAGCGTCACTCCAGCTCCACTCCGCACCCACAGGGGAGTGTGCGGAACCTCCTGGCTGTTACTGGTCGGGGTGAGGCCGGGTTCGAGTCCGGGCTTCCAGGTCTGTGTGTGCCCCTATTCCCCTCTCTTGTTCCGTGCTGAGCTGATGGGCGACACCTGATGCCCCTACCTGGGACATGGCTGATGTGCAGCGCACTGGGGGAGCAAGTGACGTACTGGCAGAGCTTTGAGCGTTTGGGAGGTGATTCTGTCTTTCCCTGTCTGGGCTGGAGCATTTCAAGTACCTTCCTGAAGTTGGAGGAGAAGAGCACACCCAAGGAGCTTGGGGCAAGGCCTCCGGGTGGCTCAGATGGTGCTGTGCTTGTGGCCTGCGGCTGCCGTGGCATTTGGTGGGCTCTGTGTCCTAGAGACAGGAGGGAGGGCAGGGGGAGGGTAGAGTCACCTGAAGTCGTTTCCTCAGACCCTGGCAGGCCCACCCTGGGCAAAGGTTTGCTTGTTTGATGGGACCGAAGGCAGCGGTAGATGATAAAAAGGCAGTGACAGGGAAAAGATGGGCCAGTCGTGCCGTGTGACAAAATGGCTAAGCGTTCAGGAGAATAAATTATCTAGGGGGGCAGGCAGTACGCCTCACACCTGCCACACCCTGGATGCAGAGGCGGCCTGCGGATGCCTGCTCTTCCCTTGTGCTGTGAGGCCGTGGGGACATCGTAGCTGTCGCCGTCACTGCGTGGGCCCCCTCCGGCTCCCAGGCAGCAGAGCGCTGCTGCCGAGAGCGAGGGTTCTGAGGCAGGCAGCCCGGGGTGCAGATGCTGCGTGCGGCCCCACCCAGCAGTGCCCTGGGCCGCGTATATTATAAGTATCATTACGTATTCTGTGAAGTGTAATTATAATTACTTATAATTATACTACTGTGTTATAATTGTTACCACACATTGTGTGGGGCTCTTTAAATGTATTGACGTTCAGTTCTCTCGGTGGTCTTATTAAGTGGGCCCTGTTTCACAGACGAGGGAACGGCCCGATGCAGGAACTCGGCCAGGTTAACAGCTCGCTGGTGGCAGAGCCGGGCTCTGACCTGGGTGGTCTCACTCTGGAGCTGTGCTGTCCAGCCTGGCAGCTGTGCTGTGGGCAGGGAGGGCGGACGCCAGAGTTCCTCAGGCCCGGGTGCCAGAGTCGGGTGCCTTGCCCCCGAGCCTCGGCCTCTCAGGGTCGGTCTCCGTCCTCTAAGGAGCCCTTCGAGACTAGGATGCGGTTCCAAGCTGCTGTGATGTGGTCGTGGTGACGCGGGGCCTGGCTCGGCCTCCCTCCACCCTCCTGACGTTTCCTCCCCTCCTCACTGCCCGGTCCGTCTCTGGACACAAGACACTGCTTCGCTCCTGGCTTCTCAGGGACCCCGGCCTCCCCACAGAGCCCTCTGTGAGGAGGCGTGGGACTGAGAGAGACCTATGCAGTGCGTTCTCTCCCTGCTTTTGCATTCAGGTGGTGCTGTGCACAGAGGTCCAGGCAGCCTCTGAGCCTGCTTCTGGGCTCCGAGCTGAGGGCGATTCCGGGGCCCATCCACTTCCAGGCGGAAGTCTGAGCCCCCATCTGCCCGGGTCGGAGGGGAGCCAGGAGGCCTCGCAGTCCAAGGCTCGTGTGCTGCCGGATGGATGCATGTTCCTGCGGGGGTGTGCTCTGGTCCACGGGAGCATCCTGCCCATCGGGGAGCAACGGCTGTTTCTTTTTGAAATAATTTACCATTTACCCCCAGCCCCCCAAAGTTACAAAATGATACAAAGAACTTCCTTATACCCTTCGCCTTGCTTCCCTAGATGTTACCATCTTATGTAATCACAGGGTGTGAACCGTGAGGATACCCTTATTGCATCTGCCGACTTTGTTGAGATCTTACCGGCAGCCCCAGGGCCGCCCCTTTCTTGCCTGGCGCCCAGTCCAGGCTCCTGTGCCGCGCGAGTAGCCGTGTCACCTTGTCCTCGTTAAATCTGGGACAGCCCTCAGTCTTTCCTTGTCTCACACGGTCTGTGCACTTTTGACGAATGCTCACAGGTGGTTTTCTAGACTCGTACAGTCGGGGTTTGCCCGATCTCTGTTACACATTTTTGGCAACTGGGACCGGGGACCCTTTCGGTTTGACTCTTCAGCTTACTGCTGGTGACGTCAACTCGATCACTTGCTCGGGATGTGCCAGCCAGGTTTCTCCATGGCACAGCGACTGTGTTTCCCTTTGTCGTTAATAAGTGCAATATTTGGAACGTTTGTAAATATCTTGTTTCTCACCATCCTTTCACACGTTAATTTTAGCACTCATTGATGACTCTTGCCTGGAACAGTTACTACTGGGGCGTGTGTTGAGTGGTGGTTTTTCTGTTCTCATTCTTCTTTCCACACTCATTCATCAGAATTCTGCTGTAAGGAAGACCTGCCTTTTCTTCCTCATTCACTTATTCAATTATTTGTTACCTTGGTATGGACTCACGGGTATTTATTTTGTTTGTCCTATGGCTTGTAATCCAGGTATTTGTTTGCTGGGGCTGCCATAATAAAGTACCAGAGACTGAGTGGCTTCAAAAATAACATTTATTTCCTCATAGTGCTGGAGGTTAGAGATCAAGGTGTCGGTGGGGCTGGACCCTCCGGAGGCCTCTCTCCTGGGCTTGCAGGCGGCCGTCTCCTTCCTGCGTCCGCGCATCGTCCCGGCTCCTAATCTTCTCTTTTTATAAGGACACCGACCATGTTGGATTATTGCCCACTTCAATGACTTCATTTTAACTTAATCACCTCTTTAAAGACTATCTCCAGATACAGTCCGATTCTAACGTATTAGGGGTTAGAACTTCAACATATAAACCCGTTTTGGGCAGGTAGAATTCAGCATGTAATACCTGTGGCTGGCATTGTTATGTTCTCACTCAACTTGTACCGGCTTTGGCCTCTGGGAACCCCTTCGCCTTGGCACCTGTGCCCTTTCTCCACACCCCCGTTCACTTTGAGCACTTTCTCATTTCCTGGTACCGCTGAGTGTTCCAGGCGCATCCTGTACTTTTTCCGCCCCGGCCCTGAGATTTTGTACTTCTCCAAGGGGCCCCCATTTCTTGTATTGGGGAACGGTGGTGAGCCCCCTCTGAATGATTCTGTTTCCCACTGAGGTCTGGAACTGGACTCAAATTCGAATCCCATTTTTAGGTGAGTGAGAGTCCGTTAGTTCCTTCATCTCTAATGGCTGGTTTCCTTATCTGTTAAATGAGGATGGTGCTGCCTGCCTCCCAGGATTGTTATAGGGACTGAGCGATACGTTACTGGGAGCATTTCGCACAGCCCCCGGCTCAGTGTCTAGTGATGCTTAGGGAGCCACTGCCAGAGGCCAAACCGCAAGGAACGCAGGACCATCCAGGGTATGGGCCAATGGCAGAGAGGTTCCCAAGCACATCTCAGGGACCTGCTAGAGTAACCTGTACATGTCAGTGTGGGGAATTCTGTCTTGAGATCATAGCTGGCGTTTTCAAGAAGTTCCAGGCCCCCCCTGCAGCGTCTCCTCTGGGTCTCAGGTACCCCTGACGGCCCCAGCACTCCAGGTACTTGAAGGCAGGAGAGCTGTCGGTGAGACATTGTGTCTCAGATTTCATCCCTGGTCCCATAGTTCGCTTTCTCGACCCCAGCTGGGCTGGGCCCCTTCTCTTGGCATCGGGAACTTTCTCTCTTATTGCTTCTGCATGTGGAAGACCACCCTCCTAAAGAGGTAGTGGAGCGTGTGGGAGGGACAGTACCCCAATTCGGTTTCAGATTTCGGTTGCTGGGTGATGCGGGATCATGGGGCGTGGGCGAGGTCAAAGCTGTTGAGAATAGAGTGCATCTCTTCTGTTTTTTATTGCATTGGTTAATTATCTCTTTGTCTTTTTTTGCAGAGAGCACGGACAACTTTTTCTCTAGTAAGTCTGCTCTGCCTTTTGCTTTGAAGCTGATTTATTCTGACACTTCCGGTAACTACTGAATCCGAACAGCCGTCTCCCCTAACTTACCACCATCCCTGACCCCAGGCAGCCGAGAGCATCGAGGGAGCTGTGGAAGGGAACTGGAGAGTAGACATACCTCTTGGGATGTTCTAAGTCCATACCTCTTGGGCAGCCGCTCCATGCCTCAGTTTCCCCTGGGGAGTTTTTCCAGCCGGGCCGTGTTGAAAGGGGGTATGTGGGGTCACATGTGCCCCATAGAGAGACCTTTGTTGACCCTATTGGTTATTCTTGTGGAGAGAACCTTCAGCCTGTTGTGTTCCTCACCTGCTCTGAGGCCCTAGAACGTGGCCGGGACCCACCTCCTGTGGAGCTGTGATTGGCAAGGCCCCTGGTAGGCTGGTGTGGCTCGGAGGGATCACCGAGGCTCAGTCTGTCGCGGTTTGGGGCTAGACAGTCCCTGAAGGATTTGGTGTTCCGCTCACGGGCGGTGGGGGAACATATTTGTCAGTTTTCCTTTTGTCCCCACGGGAAGGGACCAGCAGCAGTCATAGGCGGTCCTGTGTGGGACACTCCGTGCTATTGGGCACTGACGTAAACATCACCTGCGACTGTGTATTTGTCCTCCATCTCAGAGGACTTGCCACCTCACAGAATGTCCTTCCAGAGGACTCTGAATTGGGTCATCTCCTGCCAAGGAGGGACTCTAGATGGAGGACAAAGTGATACCTGGGTTTCCCCCCGGCCCTGCTGGGAAGAAGGGGTGTGTGCAGGTCGGATGCCTTGCTGCCATTCCGTTCTGGGAATGAGTCCACCTGCGTTAGGGCACTGGCTCGTGGGTTGTGAGTGAGGCCCCAAGCCTCCCGGATCTCACGGACAGGAGTGGTGGGGGCGGCGGGGGGGAGGGGAGAGCCGGGGCAGGGGCTGGTCCGCCCCCGCGACCGAACGTGCCTAATCCAGACCCTGGCTGGGATCCCAAACCATGTGTTAATATTCTTTTTTTGTGCAACAGCTCATGGTCCGTGTTGCTCAGGTGACATTATTTACCCTGAGAATGTGGTGGGGAGCGGAGGAAGGCCCTCTGTTCTTCACAGAGCTGTCCCTGAGCTGTCAGCTCCCGCCAGGTGGCCAGACAGGGGGCTGGTTGCTGGGAGGGCAGGGCAGTAAGAGCCTGGCTTCATGGGGATATTCTGCAGTACGGACAGGGTCCAGGCCTGGGGGGCGGGGCGGGGGCGGGCTCGGAGCCTCTGCCGGCCAGCAAGCTGACCCCTCCTGCTCTTCTGTTTGGTTTTCAGTCTATGAAGTGAGCCCCACACCACCTATCACTGTGACCCACAAACCAGAGGAAGACACTTTTGGGGTGAGTTACTTCTTGGTTACGAGGAGGTCATTGTCAGACTTCATTCGAGCAGCTAACGTTCCCAAATGTGACCTTACTGGGAACCCTGGTATCTCCGGCAGAAAGAAGCCAGCTGACTGAGCTCCTTTCAGGCGGGCGAGCCCTTCCGAGTCTGATGGGAACAGTTCATTGTTTGAGGAAGTCTTTGAGGACCTGCTCCAAGCCCTGGGGCTCTGAGAAATCCCCATTCTGTTAGGAACCCAGCAGGACCTGATTGGAGGGGATGCTCCCTGAACAAGTTTATGCAGAGTTGGTCACTCAGGGCACCTCCTGGGTGGCTGCTCCAAGCCCCTTGTCCCTGCCCCCTACCCCGCTGACAGCCAGAGCCTGAGGTTCCTCGTGGGTCTTTTTAGAGTCCAGATCTCCTAGAATTTCCTGGATAAGAACATTCTGTAAAGAATTTCAGTGCAACTATGCAGAATTAAAACAACAAAATGAGGGATGGAGGCCTCTCTAGGCTTCCTGTTGCCTCTGCTGGGCGGGCCCCCGTGGAGAGGGGCGCAGGCCCTGCATCACAGAACGTCCAGCTGGGTGGTCATTACCTCACTGCTCCCCGGGTCTCACGGGAGTCCCTGCTTCTAGAGGTGTCGCTCAGCGGCTGAGTCCCGTGAGGGCTGTGGCGGCTCCCGCCGCACGTGGGCCTGCCTGGCGCCCTGCAGACCAGGGCCCGTGCTGACTCTCGCTCTGGCCCCTCGCAGGTGTCCATCGCCGTCGGGCTCGCCGCCTTCGCTTGCGTCCTGCTGGTGGTTCTCTTCATCATGATCAACAAGTACGGTCGACGGTCCAAGTTTGGAATGAAGGGTAAGGCAGGACCTCCAGCGGCAAGGGTGTCGTCGGGGCAGCACGGCTCTTTTTGATGACAAGAGGCTGTTTGCGCCTCCCTTGGCGCGCTGAGGGGCCCCTGGCGTTCAGCGGAAGAGCTCCTCCTCCTGTCCGCCTCTTTGCCGCCGGTGATGATGGATTGAGCGCTGGGCTGGTGTCTGTGGGGACCGAACCGGGAGCCATCTGCTTTTCCTGAAAGCACTGCTTAGCTGGGTGCAGTGAGGATCATTTGGGAAGGAAGTTGGATTTGAGGGCAAATGAGGAGGACTTAAGGTTCTTCTCATTATTGGTAGGTAAAGGGACTCCTTGCTTGAGTGACTTGGTTCTGTTCGTGCTGCACCCTTGCGTCTTGCTGTGCCCATGCCTGGGCTTGCGATGAGAAAGTAGGAGCAGAGGCAGGTGCGGGGTGGAGTCCAGCCCTGAGAACTTGCCCATGCAATGGTATCTCAGCACGCAGCTCCACGCAGAGTCCAGATCGGATGCCAAGAGCAATACAATTGCTACATCTGCTGGCTAGCTTCCAAGACACACAGCACTCAAGCCCGTCCTGGCCTGCGTGGGGGTAGGATGTGGCTCCACACCCAGGCTGGGTAGGGGGCGTGGCACGAGAGGGGTTCACATGGTGGATTAGGATGCGCCTGCTGTTCTGGGGGCGGATCTGACCAGATGGCTCAAAGGAGACTGGCCAGTTCCCTCGAATTTCAGAAGCTTGAATTTCAAGATCTCCTCCCAGCTAGGCTTCCATTTGTGGTTGATGAGAGGTAGAAGATGCAGGGTGGGGTGAGGAGCAAGCCATCAGCTTGCTGAGCTAAGAGTCAGGTCAGGGACTCCTGGGAGATTATGGGATCCTGGAAGATGCATGTCTGTGCTTCTGCACGTGAGCGGGGACCTGTGGTGAGGGTCCTGACCTCGGGCCCTGGGACCGAAGGGGAGTATGTGCAGGAGATTCACGGGAACGGTGGTCTCCTGAGCTCCCACGTAAATGTTTAAGTGTCTGCACGCGGCAGAGCGGGGTGGGGAGTTTGGAATGGAACTAGGTCTTAGCTTTTCTTACATTCTCAAAGGTGTGGTGACTCCCCCGTAAGTTCAGAACACCCACCGAAACACAGGAAGGCAGAAAACACAGGGCAGCTGGCTGCCTGGCCTCCCCGAAGCCCGTGTTTCTGGGTGCTTTCTGCTCCTGATGAAGCTGGACAGGCCCCAAGTCAAGCCGGAGGGCTGGGAGAGGGCGGGAGCCAGGCACTGCTGCCAGGCGGGCTCCGCCACCGCTGCCGGCGCCCCTGCTCGTGGCGGGAGGCGTGCGGGCCTCTGAGGGGAGCCGCAGGACAGCTCCCCCGGGAGCGAGCAGCAGCTAATAGGTGCTTACGGTGGAGTGGTTGCCCATTTGATCATCACTGGGGGCGGTTAACATTTCCCCCGTAAGCAGATGGTAGCTGTCCTCTGAGTGGAGTGGAGAATCCTGCCAGAGTCTTGATGCGGAGGGACTGGCTCCTGCCAGGAGACCTCGGGCTGCCGCCGGCGCGGAGCATCTCGTGGTCCCTCTGGTGTGACGGCTCGGGAGGGCGTCATTCGGCGCTCTCTGCTCCCCCCAGAACACGGGCTGGCAAGGCTTCCTTCCAGCCGGGTGGCGCTGATACTCTGACCGCGCGTCTTCCTCGGTTGAGAGAGAGGGGAGGATCCGAGTGTCTCAGGCTGGGAGCCCAGAGCAGGGGCTTGGTGCGGGAGACCAGTGTGGACATAGCTGGAGACCTCTGAGACCACTGGAAGGGGGCCTGCACCCGTTGGGGCGGGGCGTGGTTGGTGCTCCTAATAAGCAAGCTTCTTTTGCCCTGCGGGGATCAGGGGACGGAGGTCAAGGGCAGGGCAAGGCAGAAGGAAGCCCGGTGGAGAACTTGGGTTTCCTGACTTCCTGCAGTAACTCCATTCTTCCTTCTTGTTTGTTTTTCTTTCTTGACTTTGTTTTCTCTCCTGCTCTGAACGGAGGTTTGAAGGGAAGAAGGCACCTCTGGCCCCGGTAGCGATCCTGCACTGGGGGCCCTGCTGGGAGGTGCTCTCTGAGCTCACCTCCGAGAGCGGCTTCTAGATTCATTTCCCATACTGTTACCTGCAGGGCCTCGTGCTCCCCAACAAACGCCTTTTCTGCCTTTTTGGGCTCCCTGGCAGAGCCTTTGCCCCAAAGGGGACTTTGAGCATTTGTTCAAGTCTAAGTTAAGTCAGTGCGGTGGGCAGCCAGTCCACAGGCAGGATGCAGATCAACGGAGGCCCGAGCCTCCTGCTTCCCCGCCTCCGCTTTGGACTCCAGCGTCCTGTCTGCAGACAGAGCCGTGTGTGTGTGTCTCTGGTGTGCCTTTGCTGCCCTGTCTTTGTAGGAGCTTGGCAGCAGTGCTGTGAGTGGTCCTAGGGGTCCCTGTACTGTCCCCATTGCTCGTATTAAGGCTGGACTGCTCCGTTCCTTTCTCAGGTGCCGGGGCACCTGCTCATCTCCGGCACCAACTCTTCTGTTTGAGGGGAGATCCCTGGGTTTTGTCTGTACAAAGAATTTCCCTCTGTGGCCACCTGTGAGCTGGTTGGTTCTGGCAGGCCCCGCCTCCCCTTCAGCAGGACCGGGGACAGCCAGCGTGCTGGGCTCCGCGGGCGACGCGATCACAGCTCTGACCCACCGTGATTCTGGCCGTGGAACACCATTCTACTTAATCCGTGCCGTTGCGCCTGGGTCCCCCAGGGTTAACAGCCCTCTGATAGCTCAGTGTGGACGGTCGCAGCCTTCTGTGCCCTGCCACGCGTGACAGGCGCAGGCCCCGCACACTCTGTGAGTGTGACCAGCCGTTTGGGTGCGCACAGCTGGCCCTCGCTGTAGTCGCGCCACTAAGAAAAAAGTATCGGAATAGGAGGCAGCAAAAGGGGCTTCTAAAACCAGAAATAAAATCAGAGTTATGCTAATTTTTACTCTTAAGGAACTCACATGCTTCCGTATTTTATTATTCATCAAATGTCCTGGTGACACACGTCCTCACTGATCCAGACGTCCTGCTGGATCGTGGCCCCAGGATGGATAATCAGGGCGGGGTGCGCTGCCAGCCCTGACTTCCCACAGTGCTCTTTGCCCAGCGCACTGTGCACCCTCTGCCAAGTTGCGCTGCGGCAGTGCGCCACCTGAGCCCCCCACCGTCTTCTCATTCTTTGCGCCTCTGCTTGTCCTGTGCGTCCTGGGGGCTCTCACGTGCCTGCGGGAGGAGTGGCCGTGGGTGTTGGCTGGGGAGAAACTTCCATGTGGCTGCGGCACCTGGGCCCTGTGTCCCTGCGTCCCGGCAGGACATCCCCCCTCCCACGAGCTCTGCAGAGGTGTCAGGATGTCCAAAGAGGGGCCCTCGAAGCCACAGGCAGCAAAGCAGAGAGATCCAGATGACTGTCAATCCGGAAGCAGGGTTTGGAATGGGGAGAAAAGCCGCATGCTGAAAACAGTCGTGAGTGAGCCAGCCGCCGCCAGCCCCTGGCCCGGCTCCGGGCCATGCCACTGACCCTAAGGCTGCGTGTTCTTCACCGGGGCGAGTGGGGCCGCGTCCTGGAGAGGGCTGGGCTGCCCACGTCCCTCACTGGCAGCGGCTCAGCAACCAGGTGTGTGATGGGTGACCCCCTAGCCCATCACTGGCGTCTTGGCCAACAGTCTGGAAGTCAGAGATTTCAGCCCTTCATTCGTGACCCCCTCATCGTCTTCTCCAGTCCCCTCTGTACCCCCGTCCTGCCCGGCACAGCCCCAGCCCTGCCCCTGCTGCCTGCAGAGCGGCTCCTGACGCTGGTGGCCTCCGCGGTCCCTGGCTGTACCCGGCCTCCCTGTTGCCCCAGGGCATCCCTCTGGCCCTGACCCTTCCAGGTGATTCTGCACTGCTGAGTGGCAGTCACTGCTTTGCAGTGGAAAGTTCCTGTGTCCTGCTCCCTACCCAGACACTCTAGGCGCCCCCCTGCCCTTAGGAGAGGTGCTGACACCCCGATACCCTGACCCGGCATCGCAGGCCGGGCGTGGTCTGCCCTGCGCACCCCCACCTCGCCTTGACACCAGACTTCCGTGCCAGCCACGGGGCCCACCTCCGCCTTGGCGGTGCTCGGTGCGACCCAAGGCGCAGCGCCTGTGCCCGGACTGCCGCAAAGAGTCCCCCCGCAAAGCTCCTCGAGCTTCCGGGCCTTCCTCAGCTCCGCCTTTGCTCTCCCGAGCAGGCCGGCCTGGCGCCCAGAGCGGGGGTGCTCCCGGGACGGGCCTTTGTGGCGCCACGCACCGACCCCCCTGGCCAAGCGCCTCGCCCGGGGGTGGCGGGAGTGTGCGGAGGGTGCCTGCCTCAGCCGGCACCCTGGCTGCGCAGGGCTCGCGCGTCGGCGTGGGTAACCTCAGCAGGCTGCCCAAGGCACAGGGCTGCATGGGTCTCTTCTGGCCACCTTGGGCTTTGCACTCCGAGAGCTGCAACCTGGAGCTCCTTCCCTGACCACCGGCGCCCCTAGTTGTGTTACCACGGTGATGGGGGGGGGGGCATATGATCTGGGAGAGTTTCTTTTGGTGCCGTAAGGTAGAGAGGGTAACGTTCTCCTCCAGTTAATGGCTCTTCTCTTCTCTCCTCCCACCCAGCCTCCTCTCCCTGAGGTCACACCATGTTTATTGGGCTCTCCTCCCCCCGTGCCCCTTTCTTTGCCCACCACCTTGTACGGAATCGGGTAAATCATGTGGCTTCTTCTCACGTCCACACCCCGGGGCTTCTCCCCTCGCCCTGCTCCTGGCGCCCGGCGCCACCGAGAGCCCGACAGGCCTGGGGTCCAGTCCTGGTTCTGCTGCTTCAATGCGATGGCACTTACGTGACTCATTAACTATCCTCGGCTTCCGTTTCCTCGGCTGACAAATGAGGAGGATAATCCTTACTAGGCAAGGTTTTATGAGAATTAAATGAAATTATGTATATAAAGCAATTAGCTCGGTCCCCGGCCATGTAGTAATC